ATGTACAAGGACCGCTACCTGGACAAGCCTCTTCAAAAGGACATTCTGCAGGAATCTTTCATCAACACGATGAGTGCCTGGGTTAACATGCTTCTCTTGTCCTCAACTGGCCCGATCAAGACTCCAGTCGGAGCTTGCGCCACTGCGGTCGAATCCGTTGACATTGGTTACGAGACGATCGTGGAAGGAAAGGCTCGTGTCTGCTTTGTTGGAGGATTCGACGATTTCCAAGAAGAAGGATCTTATGAATTCGCCAACATGAAGGCGACCAGCAATGCCGAAGATGAGTTTGCCCATGGTCGCACCCCGCAAGAAATGTCGCGGCCCACCACTACCACCCGTGCTGGATTCATGGAGTCTCAGGGTTGCGGTATGCAACTCATTATGAGTGCCCAGCTTGCTCTGGATATGGGTGTACCGATCTATGGTATCATTGCGCTGACCACCACGGCTACCGACAAGATTGGTCGCTCTGTTCCCGCACCCGGACAAGGAGTTCTCACCACCGCGCGCGAGAACCCTGGCAAGTTCCCATCTCCTTTGCTGGACATCAAGTACCGTCGCCGTCAGCTTGACCTGCGTAAGAAGCAGATTAAGGAATGGCAAGAATCCGAGTTGTTGTACCTCCAGGAAGAAGCCGAGGCTATGAAAGCCCAGGCCGCTGATGAATCTTTCGACGTCTCTGGCTACCTGCACGAGCGCGCTCAGCACATTGAACGCGAAGCTGTCCGCCAGGAGAAGGATGCCCAGTTCAGCCTTGGAAACAACTTCTGGAAGCAGGATCCACGTATCGCTCCTCTCCGTGGTGCTCTCGCCACCTGGGGTCTGACTGTTGATGATATCGGTGTCGCCTCATTCCACGGTACTTCTACTGTCGCTAATGACAAGAATGAATCGGATGTGATTTGCCAGCAGATGAAGCACCTGGGTCGGAAGAAGGGCAACGCCCTTTTGGGTATTTTCCAGAAATATCTCACTGGACATCCCAAGGGTGCTGCTGGTGCCTGGATGTTCAACGGCTGTCTTCAGGTCCTTGAAAGTGGTCTGGTTCCTGGCAACCGCAACGCTGATAACGTAGACAAGGTGATGGAGAAATTCGACTACATCGTTTACCCAAGCCGCAGCATCCAGACTGACGGTATTAATGCCTTCTCTGTCACTTCATTTGGTTTCGGCCAGAAGGGTGCACAGGTTATTGGTATTCACCCCAAGTACCTCTACGCAACCCTGGATCGGGCACAGTACCAGACCTACAAGGCCAAGGTCGAGGCGAGACAGAAGAAGGCATACCGCTTCTTCCACAACGGGCTGATCAACAACAGCATCTTCGTCGCTAAGGACAAGGCTCCTTACGAAGATGCCCAGCAGAGCAAGGTCTTCCTCAACCCTGATTACCGTGTGGCTGCCGACAAGAAGACCTCGCAACTCAAGTTTCCTGCCCAGCCCCCCAAGGCTGATGACAAAGGACTTGAGAGCACAAAGACTATGATTGAGTCGCTGGCTAAGGCTAATGCTTCTGAAGACTCGAAGGTCGGTGTGGATGTGGAGAACATCGAAAGTTTCAACATTGAAAATGAAACCTTCATTGAACGGAATTTCACCGCAAGCGAGCAAGAGTACTGCCAAAAGGCAGCGTCTCCTCGATCATCCTTTGCCGGACGGTGGAGTGCCAAGGAAGCTGTTTTCAAGGCCTTGGGTGTCAGCAGCAAGGGCGCAGGTGCCCCTCTCAAGGACATTGAGATCTCAAGTGACTCAACCGGGGCTCCCGTCGTGAATGTAAGTACTACTTTGTAACTGCCCCGCCGATAGGAAATCCCGACTAACTTGCTATTCAGCTTCACGGTGCTGCAGCTGAAGCTGCCAAGCAGGCTGGCGTCAAACAGGTCAGCGTCAGCATCAGCCACAGTGATACCCAGGCAGTCGCGGTCGCGGTCTCCAAATTTTAATGCGCTGATGAGGAATAATGGCCTGAATTTATGTCATGTACCTTGAGTGTAATCTATCATGTCTCTTTCCTAGCCTTGTTAGACAGTATTAGATTGTCAATACATAACGTGTTTGGTTCCAATGCTTGTTCAAGTGTTCGCTCATCATCCTCTTTTCTTCGTATTTGTTGCACTGCTTCGTTCCGCTAAGAAGTTCAATGTGTGGGTTGCTGACCCCACAGCGAACGCCTCAGCTTTTACTCGGTTGTTTCTCACGGCGGCTTAGAGGAGTATATTGAATCCATGATGGTCAATTTCTCGAAGCTTACACTGGTAAACTTCAAAACTTTCTAAGGTACTATTAAGTAATGCAATGACAATTGAAGTACAGTTATGGTGGATGATAGCTATCTACAACTACACTAGATAAAGGCGCAATTCAGTGTTCTATTTGCCTCCGGATGCTCGGCTCAGAGGACCCCAGTTCTCACGAGGATTTATCTGATACCGCACCAGCCGCTTCTTGGCCGTCTCCCTGCCCAATGCCTCATCGAATACAACCTCCAGCGTGCTAGGGTGCGGTCTGCCTGTACCATTGGGACTACGGGGAGGCTTTGTGTCCTGGGGACCCTTCTGCGTTGTTCCCGGCTGTTCACGCTGGGGATCAGAGTCCCTTCTCTTCCTTCCAAACGCTTGACGGGCACCGGAGCGATACAAGGCAGCTTCAATCTTGGTAACCATATCTTTGACATCCTTTGCCTCTTCTGTGACTGCCTGAAGCTCGGTCTTGAGAAGTGCCAGAGACGGGTCTTCCCCCTCACAGCCTTGAACGTTCTCCCGGCTCTTGGACATAATGACAGCGCCGGGACTACCGGGCTTGAGGGCGCCTTCTCTGATGGGAGACTTCTGCCTCACCCATTCCCTCATTATCTCCCAGATCACCTCCCAAGGAGCATCGGTACGAATTGTGTTCGGTCTGGCGTGGCTACGGGTTGACCGGTAGCCTAGGTGTCGAATAGCCCCCCGCATGGCATCAATGGAAATCGTGGATGTATGCAAAACTTTGGATAAGGCGCTGAGACTGAAGTAGAAGGGGTATTCTTCCCGGGCGGCGGGGTCGAGCCGTGGGATGATTGCAGAATACTCGTTCACGGGGATATCCCCACCGACTGTGCCAGTAGGTGTCTGATTGGCTTCGTCACTAGGAATTTCTAGATTCAGATCTTCTTCCATTGCTGTGGTCAACATTCCCTCGATCCGGTCAATGGTGTGATACACGTCCCTATCTGCCTGGGGAAGCATATCAAGGATCCTGCGGATGAAGTGAGCATTATGAAGAGGACCAGCCCACATAGGACCGCTGAGGTGAGTCCTAGAGCCACAATGGCCACAACGACTATCTGCTACCGGACCCTGAGCGAAGCCGAAGTGGTAGAATGGATTTCCCTTCTTGTCCAGCTTCTGTTTCGTCTGGGTTATAGGCTGAGTCGACCAAGCGCCACAGCCAGCATCGCAGTTGTAGACCATCATCATATTTCCAGAGATATACTTGACTTCAGCTGGGGAGCGATGGACACGGACGAACACTCGGGCATAAAAGTCGATCGATAGGGACAGAAGCGGCTCAATAGCGAGACCATATTTCGCAGCGGAGGCTGCAAGCCCGTGCAGAATGAGACGCAGGCCACCTTCGTGGCAATGCGGTCCTTTAACTGGAATTCCGCCATATAGGGCGAACGACTTTTCGGGATACCCGTAAGAGGCCCAGACACCTGCATCGGTACAGGTCACACAAAGAAGGCCGCCATCCTTGACTGCCTGGACCGCAGCGTCCATGAAAGGTGCAGCAGAGCCGTAAGGGTCCAGATCAATCACGTCAAATTTTCCTAGATGGCTCTCGACAGTTGGGGTGTTGGCTTGTTGGTTTAAGAGACTGTACATGTAAGCGCGCGCATCTCCGGTGTTAGGACGGATCTTTTCGCCGAGACTATTGTATTTGATGTTCGTCTTCATGGAATCAATTGCCGAGGGTGACAGGTCGTTTGCGACGACGCAAGAGGTGAAAGGTATCTCCGAAGCATATCGCAGGGCACGCAGACCCGTAGCAGAGAGGGCGTCTAAAATCGTAAAAGACGGCGCAGTCTCCTGCTCTGCCTGCTGTGCTGCAGTCGGATTCCCTTGGCCTTGATTCTGATCCTGCGTTTGTTCCTTGACATCGACCTCTTCTCTCTTGCGCTTCTTGCCCTTCGCTAAGTCGCTCGCCGCAGCCTTTTGCTTCCTCTTCTCGGCCTTCTGTTTCTTCAGGGCCAGCAAATGCTCCCCGTATGCGCGAATGGCAAGGACACTAAGGTCCCGGTTGAACTGTTGGATAGGGTTGTAGAAGACTGATTGCGATTGCTCGTCAGCTTTGCGATCCCTTTTCGTACCGGGAGCCTGAGCCGGGGGGTTCAGAATGTACGCCAATCCTTCCTTCACTGCTCTGTACTCAGTGCCGTCATACTGTATCAATTGTTCAGCCATCTCCGCAGCCGATGAGCGGGTAGAGTAGACTCGGCGGAGTGGCGGGCGTTGGTGGAATCCTAGGGCGGTGCAGCGGGCAATTGCGCGATCGCTGCGGAGTCTGAAGTGGGTTGAGAGGGCACGATAAAGAATACCAAGGTGTGGGCGCATGGACCCGGACTTTGAAAATCGACCTGGTGGTGACTTGGCTATGGGCTAGGCAATAGATGAACAGCAAGTCCTTCGTCTCTTTTTCTGCTTGTCGGAAACTTTTTTTGACTTCCGCCCGCCAACCTTTCCGATCAGCTAAGCACGGACCAACTCCCTACTATCTAACCACACCAATGTCATAACTATAAACTCAATTCATTCCCCTCTTCACATTCTATCAGAGCTGTCATTAACATTAAGTCTTGCTTCTTGCTTAGTATACAATCATATCGGCCGTTACTCCCGTCCTTGAAATATTATGTGTCGAAGCACTAACCGCTAGACCAAAAATGATTTATCGCGTCTAGTCAGCCAGGCGACAGAGAGATATGTGTCCCCAAACTATGTTTGTCCGAATCAATTGGGTCAGAGCCAGGACCCAATAACGGGGACCTGGCTATAGATTTCATTCCATCCCTTGGCCTCCCAGCCATAACCTTGCCCCGTACGCCCGATGATGCCCAGGGCGCCTGCAAGCCATATGGATGCTCCCACCGCGGCAATGCCGTTGACCGTCCACCACATCTTCCTCTGTCGGCGGAGTCGTTGCTCACTTTCCGAGGCTCCCAGGTAACCCTCTAGGGAGCCCTTTTTCCGGTCACGTTCTTTCCGGACCGTTGTCACTCTCCAGCCCATCCATGCAGCCCAGCCGCCGACGAAGTGCCACACCCCAACGGCGACGAATAACAGATAGTATAGATTCCAGAGTGCGGGGGCCCGTGCAAAGCCGTGGGCCACATAACCCAGCCCGACTCCTGAGCTTCCCCCATCGACCATTAACGGAGTAATGCGGTTGACGAGCACATGGGCGCCAAGTAACGGAACCAACGAATATCCTAACCGAGCTTGGAGACTCATCCGAGGCCAAAACGTCAACGAGTGTCTCTGTGACCTTGTCTCGGCACCATAGAGTCGCGCCCGCCGTGCGGAGCGAATGTTGCGCAAAGCAATTCCGGACGCAATATGAATCAGAACAGGCGCGGTCAAGACGAGATGTTCGAGGCCTGGAGATTGATAGACGGGTCTGGTGAGAAGTAGGAAGCTCTCGCTATCAGGTACGGATCGAGTAGCCAGAGGGATGAGAGAGGTATTGGCCCAGTGCAATGCAAGGAATAGGGTTGGTGGATATGTCGAGTATCGTTGGAAGGCAGACACTGGAAATATTGAGGTCATTGTTAGCTCCTAGGAACAACGTATATTCTTGCCATTTTCACAATAGCTTGCATATACTTAGCCATACACCAGGAATCCCAACTGTGTCCGCGAAGACCTAACTTGAGCGATGAGAACCGACCACCTCCGGCGATGGGCTCGTGTGCCGATGGCGGACTTGGTTCTCTAGGGAAGTATTCGCCAGATTCGAGGTCTGGAAACTCATCTTGGACTGGCGATGGGTCTAGTTCTTGCATTGAAAATATGGAGCGCGTTTCGATATCCTCTGGTTTGGATGGCATGCTTTCTTTCGAGGCAGCCATGGCTCAAAAAAAGCACCGGGCCACCAGGTGCTATGTTATATATGTCCGCGCCAGGAGCCAGAATTAGGGCTGGTCAACTATTACAATCAATCCGGTTGCGATGGGGTTGTCTGAATTCAGAGCATGGTCGTTTGAACAATAATTCCTCGCTGTGATTTGGGGCAGCAGATTTCCTTGGAACTTGATCTCATCGACACTTTCTTGGTAAAGAACTGCTAGGCGATGATCCTCCGTATTAGAGGCCTCATGATTGGCCCGTTATGGTCGACCTCCGTAGTCACGGTATTGCACCGGTATTGACGGTATCTAATCGAACACCAGTTCAAGCTCCTCTTCCGCGGGCGGTGGTTTTCTTTCGGCAGAAAGTATCAACCTCAACGTGCAGTCGCAGATAGATGTATGCTACCTAAGAAATTACAGCAACCAGAGGCTCAAACCATCACCGCTCAGCGAGCAAGCAGCAAAGTCTCAAACCCGTACACACGCTCTTTCGCTGTCCGCGACAACCCCTTTCCAAGCGTATCTGCGTACTCCTCATAGAACTATGGCGCCTGCAAGTGCCCAAATTCCGAACATTTCCCCTATTGAAGTTATATATCTTCATAGCAACAAGTTCCCAAATCTTAGCTGACCAATGCGTCTACATACACAGCGAGGCTTTACCAATCCCACTCCCAAGGTGCGATTCAGGGCTTAGTTTCAAGGAGCTTGAGGGATGTAAAGACCCGTGCTTTCATGCTAACTCAGGACCACCGCATCTCAAACTAGACCGAATCTGCGCGTTCCGCTCTGAGCTCCTTCACCTGCACGCTCTGCAACAAGTCTTACTCTCGCCATCCAGAATACGAGGCCCATATTTCTTCTTATGACCATCAACACCGCAAGCGTCTCCAAGACCTCAAGCAGTTATCCCGGGACCCCAATGCCGCCGAGAAGGCCAGAAGAGCCGAACGGAAGGCCGACGCCGAGGCCGGGTTAAGAGTCATCGACACACCCAAAGCTGCATCAGTATCTACTACGGGAACGGGCTCTGGAGCAGGTGGAAGTACAGGGGGCGGGGGAGGGTTTAAAAAGGGAGGGTTCAAAAGTTCCTTCACCACTGTGAAAGGACCTGTGGCTCCTGCAGCTCCCACAAAGAAAAACGTCCTAGGCGGTGACGATGATGACAACGAAATTCCAGAAGCAGATGATGCGAGTCTGCGGCGCGCTCGGAGCCAATCGACGAAACGCGAAAATATGCAGGTTGATCAGGCGGAGAGCGATACTGATGAAGAGTACGACCGGGATGGGGGTGTGAATGGGGTGTATTACAATCCTCGAAATCCTACCGGTTGTTCCCCTGCGTGTGCTGGTGCTAGGAACGTTCCTCTAGAGACTTCTTTTGTCTGAAACGAGCATCATGCGGAGCACAGTACGGATGTGGCGATCACACCGACTATGTACTGTGACGTCAAATGGCCGATCACTATCCAAGTTTTCTTCCCTAATGACTTGATGAGTCCAATACGTATGTGGATGATGCTATCCAGAAACGAGACATTGCAGGCATGGAGGTGGTTTCTCAACCGTCTCTCTCCTTAGCCCGAGGGTCGATGATCTGGTAATAGCAACGGCACCGGAGGAGCAGGCCCGAATTCACCGCGGGCTCGTTTGTGGTGGCACACGCCAATAGGAACAAAACCAGATGCGATGAGAACACGCTACGGAAATATACAACCATGCCCGAGCACATTAGCTTCTAAAAATGCAGAATAACGTTGATTGTGTTGTATAGTCGTACAAAATCCAAGGAAGTAGGAGAGCGAGGTAATATGAGGGAAAAGGAGAAATGGCTGTAACAATGATAGGGTACTAGACACATGATTTTATTAATTCAGTTTTTCTTCACCGTCGGTTCATATACAACGGCTCATCCTTTACAGGCGCAACAGCTTGGCAGCCTGGCTGACGATGGTGTCCTCCTGGGGGAAGCTCATGTTCTCGAGACCAGCGGCGTAGGGGGTGGGGACCTCGGCACCAGTAACACGGACGGCGGGAGCAGTCAGGTAGTCGAAACCGTATTCCATGGAGAGAGCGAGGATCTCGGAGGAGACACCGAACATGGGGTAACCGGACTCGACGCACATGATGCGACCAGTCTTCTTGAGCGACTGGACGATAGTCTCAACGTCGAGGGGCTTGACGGAACGAAGGTTGATGACCTCAGCATCAACACCGTACTTCTGCTTCAGCTCAGCGGCAGCGTTGAGCGACTGTCCAACACAGCGGGAGAGAGTGACAATGGTCAAGTCCTTTCCGGGGCGCTCAATCTTGGCCTTGCCAATAGGAAGAACAAAGTCATCCTTCTGAGCGGCCTCGCTCATGGGGAAGGCCTGACCGTACAGCAGCCTATGCAAGAATTGTCAGACTCAAAAACATTCCACAGATACTCCGATACTTCCACGGGGCTACGTACTCGTTCTCAAGGACAACGACGGGGTTAGGGTCGCGGATGGCAGCCTTCAACAGACCCTTGGCATCCTCCGAGCTCCAGGGAGCGACAACCTTCAGACCGGGGATACTGCCGTACCAAGCAGAGTAGTCCTGGGAGTGCTGGGCGGCAACACCAGCGGCGAAACCGTTAGGTCCACGGAAAGTGATGTTGCAGGGCTGGATACCACCAGACATGTAGTGGGTCTTGGCGGCAGAGTTGATGATCTGATCGATAGCCTGCATGGCGAAGTTGAAGGTCATGAACTCGCACTAGAGATCGGACAGCAGGTCTTAGTATACTGTGCATTTTCCCTCTGATGAACGTTGTATTTCCAGAGGTAACAGCAGTTCGAGGAACTTACAATGGGGTGCAGTCCAGCAAGAGCAGCACCGACGGCGAGACCACAGAAACCGGCTTCCGTGATGGGGGTGTCAATGACCCGCTTGGGACCGAAGCGGTCCAACAGACCCCTCGTTACCTTGTAACTATAATAGTAGAGCGAGTTCAGATATGCGATCCATGGACTGCAGGCAAGTCAGACGAGGGACAGGGTGCCATACGCTCCGTTGTACTGCGCAACCTCCTCTCCAAGAATGAAAGTCTTCTTGTTGCTCTCCAGCTCCTCGGCGAGCGCCTCGTTCAGAGCATCACGGACAGTGACCTCCTTGGTGCCAGATTCCGTAGCATATCCCCGGAAGCGCAGGATTGAGGGCGCGCATGCGGTGTGAGGGCGAAGGGGGGCCGAAGTAAGGCGCGAAGAAAGCAGACGAGCTGCTGGGCGGAAAAGTCGGGGAGCAGCCATGGCCGGACTGTGAGATATATAATATAAGAAGAAGGAAGAGGGAAAAAAAAAGCAAGAGTAGAGGAAAGGAGAATTACTTCACGGAAATACCGGTCTGTTGGACAATTGGTATCAAAGGAAGAAAGAACAGCCGATGGGGAGGCTCGTCACTCTTTTTCGGGGGTTCGGGGAATCTTTTTCGTCGACGAGGTTTCGGCGGAAGGTTGGTTTTTGGTGAGAAGCTTCGAAGGGACTTGTTGGGCTTAGCGCTGACTAAGCCGTGTTGCGGTTTTGCTCTTTCCTGACGGTCTCACCGGTCGCCTCCTTCCGTAGCGTCCGTTTTGTCTCTCTCTCTCTCGGTCTTTCCCTCTCTCCCTGGCGTCTTGTCGGGATCTTTCCCTCCGATAAGCACTTCTGGGTCCCCCCTTCCTATCTATCTGAACTATTCCGTTTATTTAGTTAGCGCCTATCCGTGATAAGCTTGGTGTCGGTGCGTAAACCATCAAGGTACTTACTCACTTATCCATCTACCACCACGGGGGTTGCATGGCTAACTGATCCGACTCTCTTTCCATCCTTCTCATAATTAGAGAGAGAGAGTTTACTTGCGTGTGTCATTCATTACATTAACTGCTCGTTGTCGGTCAACACCCCTGCTTCGTATTTAGATATTCAATCCACGATTTCTGCTATTGTTCTTCTCAATATCATCCCTAAAAAAGCATGAGCATGAGCATGTTCAGCAGCTACTATATGCTCTTCTCTACATTAGTGACCTTTCTTCTATTCTTTATATCCCCCTCCGTTTATGCTGTACAACCGACTGCGCCCAAGCCCATCGAGGCTCCATTGCGTGACCTGAAATGGGGCCAGCTCAATTTCCTTCACACCACAGATACTCATGGCTGGTTAGCTGGTCATTTACAAGAGTATGGCGCTGAAGTCTTCTTCGGAGCCATTCCCAGGCCTTACTGATTTCCAATCCCTTATAGACCCTCGTACTCCGCTGACTGGGGTGACTATATCTCCTTCGCTACCCGCATGCGCGAGAAGGCAGAGTCTATGGGTGTCGATCTACTAGTCATTGATACCGGCGATAGAGTGGAAGGAAATGGACTTTACGACTCTTCAGACCCCAAAGGCATCTACATCTCTAAAATTCTGCGAGAGCAGCATATCGACCTGATGTCATCGGGCAATCATGAGCTGTATAAGGAATCCACAGCATCAGCTGAGTTCTTTACCACTGCACTCAATTTCGCCGGACACTATCTTGCATCAAACATCGACTTCTATGACCCACGGACAAACGCTTTCAGGCCATTGGCACCTCGCTTTACGAAGATCGTCACCAAGCAATTGGGCATCCGCATCGTGGCCTTTGGATTTCTCTTCGACTTCAAAGGAAATGCTAATAACACTGTCGTGCGGCCTGTGAGGGAGACAATAAAGGAGGCATGGTTTCAGGAAGCTATCAGGGACCATGAGGTGGACCTCTTCTTGGTAATCGGTCATGCCCCTGTACATTCGGAGGAGTATTGGGACATATGGCGAGAAATCAGATCTCTTCGCTGGAGTACACCCATCCAATTCTTTGGCGGCCATTACCACATCCGTGACTACGCAAAGTATGATCGGATGTCCTACGGCTTGGCCAGCGGTCGCTTCATGGAAACGATCGGTTTTATGTCCATTAGTGGCCTCCAGACCCACCGTCAGCCCGGACTGTCCGCCTTAGCGTCCTCCCTGTGGCCATGGGACCGTTTCAATTTCAATCGGAAATATATCGATAATAACTTATTGTCATTCTATCATCACACTGGCCTGGATGAGACCACGTTCCCCACGGAACATGGGCAGAACGTTTCCCAACTCATTGAGGAATCCCGAAGCGCTCTTCAGCTGGATGAAGTGTACGGGTGTGCTCCTCGCGATCTGTTCATGTTTCAAGTGAAATATCCAGGTGAGGGTAACATTTATACCTGGCTGGAGACTGAAGTGCTACCCGTATCCGTGAGAGATGAATCTCGTGCTGGGAAGCCAGCCGTTGTTATAGTCAACACCGGTGCCATCCGCTTTGACATCTTTAAGGGTTCTTTTACGAAGGATAATACATATATTGTCTCCCCATTCACAAGCGGCTTTCGTTACGTGAAAGATATCCCTTACTCCCGAGCCTACCGTCTCGCCGATGTGCTAAACCGGGGACCGGGAATCTTGACTGAGGGCGACCAATTAGACAATTTGACTTGGCAGCTTGCTCCCCCTGAGCAATCAGCGTATACCCGTGGTGTATTTGGCAGCAGTGGTAGCCGATCAAGCGCTGGCTTCCTTACCAACCAAGTCCCATTCCTGAGTAGTGGAGATGCTGAGCCTGACCTAATTCCCGGGTACACTACCCATGATGATGGAGGCAAAGATGGCGATGACACCATTCACTCGCCGATGGACTTCTTCCGGGTGCCGAATGTTATTAGGGGAACACCTCGTTGGGGTGCATCTGAACCCCCGGAAATAGTAGACCTGGTCTATATTGATTTCATCGAGTCTAACGTGGCTGCAGTGGCCCCATTCGCCGGTATTGGTGCAGATTTTTCTCGCGACAGCGACGTCTATATGCCAAATACAACATTGACCGGCTTGATAGAGGACTGGATAAAAGGAAACTGGCCCTGCGAGCAGGTATGAGCGTTCACCGTGAATCGCCTTTCAGTTGATGGCTGGCGTATACATGCAAATTGTGCAATGACGGCCAATGGGCCACTATTTCCTTAGATGTGTTCTTACTCCCAGCGCACAAGCAATGAAACTAGCTAAGTTTTAGATAAAGACTACTAGTGGGTAAATGGGGTCTTCCCACTTGACTGGTAGAAATAGCTATGGATAAATTGTACTAGCTATCCATCAACCGAAGTCGGTCGACAGCCAAGAAAGCGTACTGTACAGATTCATATTTATCGGAACACTCGAGTTAGAAGATTAGCTTTTAGCTAATTCATTCCTGTTCCTCGTACCTGAGCAAGCCCTTGCCGCTGCGGTAACCGCTGAGGGTTTCCTGCACGCCTGCTACAAGCTCGGAGCCCTCGGTGTCCCATTTCCATTTGAACTCCTCAACGGGAATATCCTTAAACCTACCAGCCCGTGTCAGCTGCAGTACATCATTGATGGTGTTTTCCTTCAGCTGCGGATTCTGGTCGCCCCATTTGCTAACCCAGAAGCCATCGAAAACGAGGTTCTTGAAGATCAACAATCCCGACGGCAGAGAAACTGGCTGCTTCGACATGGCCCCGTAGGTGACCAGATGCGAACCTGGTGCGAGTGTTTTTGCGAGTGCGGTGGCACTCTTTCCACCCACACAGTTCAAAGCGAGGCGGATGGGCTCCTTCCCCTTGCGCGTGAGCTCATGTACAACGTTCCTAAATTCGCCTGAAAGCAACTCGGCCTCTGTGACCACCGCAGTCGCACCGAGATCTGTAAGTTCTTTCTTCAGAGCTTCTGTCTCCTCTGGGGTCTTCCGTTCCCGGACGACATTGAGGGTCTTGATACCCCACTCTCGTGCAAGCTGAATAGCAGCGCGTCCAACACCACTGTTTGCCCCGTTCTGGATCAACCAGTGCTCTCCGGCACGCATCCAGTCCCAGTCGCAAAAATCTTTGATCATGCGGTAAGCTGTTACTGGGTTGACACTAACCGTACTGATCTGAAGTGGGGTCAAGCCGTCCTTGTTTTCAATCTTAATCAGCTGCGATTCATCCAGCTGAGCATGAGTGCGCCAGGTGCCCTGTCCAGTCTGTTTCATGACAACCCAGTCACCTTTGCTGAGGTTTTTCACTCCAGAGCCGGTGGACAAAACCTCGAATGCGCCCTCATTTCCAGCGACAGCGGCCGGCTCCTGCGTACCGAGTGTCGTTTGGAACGGTGGCTTGCTCGGGTATACACCCTGGATCTGATTCACGTCGGCAGGATTCAGCGGCGCAGCGAGCAGGCGGAGATTCACTTGAGTACCATGGGGCGCGGAGATGGAGTGCTTGTGAAGCCTGGATGACTGTCAGATACCTTGTCCCATTGTGCAATAGCCGGGCCGCTGAAATGTAGGATCCGACGCGGTGCGAAGACTTACTGCAGGACGTCCTTGGGCTCTCCGTAGCGCGAGTAGATGAGAGCCTTCGATTGCGTATACCCGTAGACCGAAATCCATCTTTTATCCCCAATCTGAGTATGAGGATATGCTCCTTGCAATTGGCGCTTGCTCACTGAGGCTAATTGCGATGCAGCTCCAATTCTGATGGAGCACGCAGCGTGGCTTCCGGAAGCCCTCACCGCGGACCGAATCATACCCCCAGACATCATTGTAACCACAGTATACTGGTATAGTCAGATTAGTCTGGTGAGATGAGAGAGAGGATGAAGTCTCCACGACGATGCGGTCGCGAGGAAATTCCTGATGACGTCGTCCCTGCAGCCCTCGGGCCGACGGAGATGAAGACGCCGATTCGGGTATTCATTTTGGCCCTCTGGATTGACAGAGGAGGAGGATGAGTTCTATCCTTGGATATTTACAGACAATCATAAACACAGATGCAAGAGACACTGCTACCAAGACTAACCCATGTCATTCCTGAGTGTGCGGCAGTGAGTTTGGTCCTTGTTTACTACGTCAAGTCCCTACTTCAGCAGGAGCTGGAGCTTCGAGAAGCTCTCGATTACCGGTATGGTACCGTACAGTATGATACTATGGAGAGAAAGCACTCACCGCCCTGTCTCGTTCACCGCCCGCGGGGAAGTCCGCCGCATACAATCAATCGATCAATGAATCGATCGGTTTTCTAGAGAGCTTCCATTGTCTGGGTGGTACCCTTTTTGTATAAAGCTACACACCTCAATGTCGCTCTTGCGCGAAGCCGAGAAGTGCTTGGCTAATCAGGGCTCTCATGCGGCTCTAAATGCGCTAATCACCACTCTACATCAGTCAGGGCAATGGTTGGAACGTGTGAGAGATGCGGATGCGCGGCGCACCCGGGGTGAGTATGAAGGCTGCATTGCAACCAATCCTCGCTTTCTTCAGAGCTAACAAACTCGCTTCGCCAACTAGGGACGCCCAAGTCCGAGGTAGACGGCCTGTTGGTCGCCATCAAGGACAACATATGCACACGCGATCTTCCAACAACATGCGCTTCAAACGCTCTAGATAAATTCGTCAGTCCGTTTAACGCGACAGTTGTTCAACAATTGGAAGACGCAGGTGCCGTCGTGGCCGGCAAAGCCAATCTCGACGAATTTGGAATGGGATCCCACTCTATACATTCGAACTTTGGTCCTGTCAAAAGCTCGCGCCGTGACCTGCATGCCGAGTATCTCTCGGCCGGTGGTAGTTCGGGTGGAAGTGCGGTTGCTGTTGCGACAGCCCAATGTTATGCGTATGTAACTCTCCGGATCCGCCTTGAATAATAGGGCTAGGAACGGCTTGGCTTAACATTGCTGCAATATTTATAGAGCGTTGGGTACTGATACAGGCGGCTCCGTGCGATTGCCCGCCGCATATACGGGAACAGTCGGCTTCAAGCCTTCTTATGGGCTAGTCTCTCGCTGGGGAGTGGTTGCGTACGCCAACTCACTAGATACGGTCGGAATACTGGGAAGAGACGTGGCCAGCGTTCGCCGTGTCTTCGGTATGTCTTGACTTTGTCGGATTCCTCCTGTCTCGCTGCGTCTCGATTTGCTAACCCGTGCTCGCAACATAGGCGTGGTAAACAAGCATGATTCACGCGACCCCACTAACCTTTCTCCCTCCAGTCGGTCGCGGCTAGATTCACATCTTAGGATGCCTGCCTTGGCGTCTCGGACAAACTCTCCCCTCAGGATAGGAGTTCCAGTCGAGTACAACATATCAGAGTTGTCTCCATCTGCGCGACATGCGTGGTCTCGCTCGCTGGCCCATTTGCAGCGACAGGGCCACAGCATCCAAACGGTCTCCCTTCCAACGACTAAACTCGCGTTGTCGGCATACTATGTACTCGCGCCTGCTGAGGCATCCTCAAACCTGGCCAAGTATGATGGCGTCAGGTACGGGAGCCGCCCTGAAGCACCAGATGGGAATGCATCGTCAGAAAGTTATCTATATGCGAAAACACGAGGTGAAGGTTTCGGCTCCGAAGTCAAAAGACGGATCCTGCTCGGGGCATTTAGCCTAAGCGCTGATGCTATGGATAACTACTTTATTCAAGCACAGCGGGTTCGCCGCCTTGTTCAACATGATTTCAACACCGCATTTAGGGCATGCCAACCCCTGATTTCTTCACAACTGGGATCAAAGTTGGATTCTGCAGACACCGGTGTAGACGTTCTCATTTGCCCAACAGCGCCGTCATCACCACCACGCATTTCAAGCCTTATCGGACCCGATGCGACAGCTTCGCCTTTGGAGGCATATACGAATGATGTTTTTACTGTGCCTGCTAGTCTGGCAGGCCTTCCGGCCATATCTGTACCGGTCACTACAGAAAGCGCTGGTGATGCCGAGGATGGAGATTTGGCTGGAATCCAAATTATTGGCCAATACGGTGATGATGAGCTTGTGTTGAAGGTTGCCGAGATGCTCGAGGGCAGGCACCTATGAAAAACTTTTGTCTCCATAAATGCGAATACCCCAGACTCCATTCATAGATGTCTATATGTATACAAACTAAAATGTATAAACTAGAGAAATTCTGCGCCAGTAACTCCCAAGAGGTGTCGCTGTTAGTTTGTATAAAACCTTGCAAACTGAGATGTGCTCGGGATTCGGAGCGCAAAGAAAAGGAAACTATTGCAGACTAGTATATTATGTATACTTGTACAGAGTTCGAAATCGTGATATAAGTCCACCAGCCCCGTAACGTGCCCTGGTCACGTGTCGGTCATTCCAACACCGACTTCCCTAAGGCAAGGCCGGTGTAGTAGACTGGGTTAGGGATGCTAGACGTAATCCCGTAACCAGTGGCCGAAGCGTTGACGGTATGGCGTTCAAGACATCTCAACATCTCCATCTCCAGTTGACACCTCGGGTATTGTAGTCTGAGGTGCTTCTGGGACCGGGGCATCGGCGCTCGTGGTGTCTTCAAGCGTGGTCTGGCCTGGATCTAGGTCCATGACACTCCCGGCTTCGTTGCCATTGCCAGCGGGATTAGCAGCAGTTTCACTTTGACCGTCGGCAACTGGAGGAATAGCGGACTCATAAGCCGCACTGACACCACCTTTCAACACCTCGGAGCCACCAACTGCCCCAGTTCCAGAGCCGTCGAGCTCTGCGTTATTGACAACGTTGCCGTCTACTCCGCCCCAGACGCACATCGCCTCAACCTCGTCCACGATATCTGCAACTATGTCCTCAACTATTTGCTCATTGAATCGTTCGCCAATTCCCCGAATTGGCTCGCCGTTGTCTGTATGAGATGGCGGGCCCACCCACCATGGCCCGTCGAAGCGGCATTCAACCGCGCCTCCGCCGTAGCAGCTGACAGCGGGGTAATAACCGATCATTCCATCATCTGCGTTCTCGCGCTCACCGATGCCCAAGTTATTCGTGCCATTGGCAAGTCGGCTGGCCGGTGGTAAGAAAGCATACAGTTCTTCGAAAGGAGTGCCCATCTTTACACCGTTCTTGTATATTGTAATGCTTGAACCGGGTAGAGTTCGCAAGGATGCATCCTCAGCATTGAACGGAGATGGAGGCCCAAACGTAGGTGTTTCTTTGAGGTTAAATGCGTAATCGCGTAGCTGTTTTGTTGGAAACACGTTCGATTGTTGCCAACAAAAGTCTGATTTGTAGTGGAAAGGAATGCGGTCACGGACTATATTCGTGACTGACGGGGCTTCTGAGCTCGGTGTTGAAACCTCGCCATCCGCACCTGACTCATAAGTTCCCTCTACAACTTTCTTGTGAAGAGAGAGTGGCGGGAGGGTGATTAGTAGGCCGATAACATCTCCCTCACGAATGGATTCGCCTTTTGGAAAGAAGTACTCGCACCGCATCCGATTGACAACCTCGCCATTCACATCACGAATACCATATCCATAACAGTCGACGCCTACGTTGGCATCGAGGTCTGCCTCCCGTCGTGCGAAACCGAGACGTACATGTCCCCTGGACGGTAAATTTCCATTGCTATTTGAAGATGGAGCCGATGAATTATTCATAACACCACTGACGATGCGCGCTTCGTAGTAATAAGATCCCTCGCGCGCGCAGACATTGGCGCGTGCAGTATGCCAAGGCTCGTTAGAAGTAACTGCGAGAGCGTCTTTACTGAAAAGTATGGCAGCTGGAGAGTCTTCGAAGCTGAAGCGGGCGTGGTAAGGCTGAACATCAGTCTGGCGGTATTTGATATGCGGAAAGCTGGGGTCGGCTATGGCGTAGCTATAACGAAAACCATTCTTGTTGGTGAGCTTATCGACGATCTCAAAGAAGTCCCAGCTTTGACCGATAACGTCTGATGTTTTTCGGTTGACAAAATTCAGCTGCCGGGGTTGTGGGGGTAACAGATCGGATGAGCGAGGCTCTGCCAGCAAAAGAGGCCTTAGTATGCTGAGATCTGAGCTGGGAAGTGCAGTGTTTTGGACAGCAACTGCTCGCTTCTTCGGTGGCATGCTTTCCTGATCCAGACCCTTGGCTTCACGCTTTTTGCGGCTGTCACGTTTGGTACGCTTTGACTTCAATCCATCGGCTTGTGCAGGGGCATTGCTAGCAGGTATAGGAGAAGATCTCGCATTAGAATCAGGTAAGGAACCGGCGAAAAATGGTGTTCCTCCAGGAGGCAAGATCGGAGAGTTCAAGTTAGACGAAGGTGCAGAAGACCCAGCCGGTTGTGTGGAAGCCATTGTTGATCGACTCAAAAAATGCAATGTTGAGTGGGAGAGTTCATAGGCCCGGGGCAATATCAGATAGGATAGACGTCAGTGTGGAATACTTGTTGATGGGAACCCAACAGTCCGGTGTAGGTTGCGCATATGACTCGGTATCGGCAACGACAGGGAAAAGCCAGTCAGATATACTGTTACCACAGCTTTGTCGAATTAAATGTACAGGTCTCGGAGGGGAGCGACTCTATCAAGAGTGACCAGAAGCCTCGATATGCGATGAGCGGAGGTGATGTTACAGTTTCCAGGATAACCCGGGGTCGCAATAACGCCTGTGGAAAAAGTAGCAGAAGGTCAGAATTACATATGAATCAGTGTGAATCCAGAGCTGTCTTTGTATTCTCATTGTGGGTGTCGGAGCTGAGCCTCCAAGGGATATTGAAGGTACCATATGTACCATGCCCTGAACACCATATAGAAAGTTGGAGATGAGGAACGCGGAAGTGGGTTCGGAGTGCCCTGGGACTTACCACAAGGGCTGCTGGTCGACACGACTTAGATTAGCCAGTTGTAGTTAGGAAAAAGACCGCAGTCAGTTTATTAGGTAGTCGTATAAGGTCAAATAGGGGTTGATTGAACTCTTCTTGCAAGCCTCAAGGCCCGTCCTGCATCACATGCCTGTTGTTTATGCGCAAGTTGCATGCGACGAGCGGAAAGCAATCTTGTCGCCGATTAAAGGCGGTGAGCTACAGTACTGCCGGCAGGTGTCGAGGGCCAAGTGGTGCCTCGAGATAAGAGGGGTAAAGGCGGTATAAGATATCATCCAATAAGAAATAGCATGCATAAAGCGGTGAGGACTGACTCCGCTTTGGCGACGCCAAAAAAAAGAGCTCGACAAAAAATTTGAATCACATGACCTGGAAATTTACACACATTTTCTTGGAGGTTGATACCCGAGAGAGAGAGACGATCCACGTTCGCAGTGCCTATTATCCGGTGATTAGGTGGATTCGGTGCTAGCTGGAGCCTTTTGGTATCATATAAACCTCGGTTTCTAATACACACATCCAAAGGGGCACCGTCACCATGCCCAAGGCAACATCCTCTCGCTCCGCCGCCGGCCGCCGGCACAATCCTCTAGCTGAGGATTATATGACTGCTGGTCATCTGAGAACTCAATCGGCCAAAAAGTCCAGTCGCAAGTCTCGTGAGGGAGACGAACAAGAAGATGGGGAGCGCTTCGTTGATGCGAAGATGTCCCGGAAGATCCTGCAAATCGGACAGGAACTGGCTGATGAGGATGCTGAAGAACAAAGAGCCACAGCAGGCGCTGCTGCTGATATGACGAACGCAGCCTTTGATTTTGAGTCTCGCCTGGAAGGTGATGAGGCCTTTTCCGATGACGAAAAATTCCAAGACGACCAATGGGACGACGAAGAGGAAATTGAGGAAGTTGTATGTCACTGGAATCTCTCTCTTCAAAAATCTCTGGGAACCCTTTTGCTGATATATCGATTAGGAGGTCGACCCCGATGATCTTGATATGTTCAACAAGTTCATTCCTGCAGGCGACGAAGACCCGATATTCAACCCCAGTGGACCCGAAGCCGAAGGTCAGACTAGGAACCTAGCCGATCTTATTCTGGAGAAGATCGCGGAACATGAAGCGAAGCAGGGCGGAGAGAGCGGCGGGCCCTTCATTCAGGGTGGTGGATTACCGGAGGATGCTGTTCAAATACCCGCGAAAGCGGTGGAGGTATATGAGAAGTGAGTACGGATTGCGCCGTGTTGCCGTTCACGCAAGGCTAATCGAAAATCAAAGGGTCGGCATGATACTTTCTCGCTACAAATCTGGACCTCTTCCGAAGCCCTTCAAGATCCTTCCTTCTGTGCCCAACTGGCCCACCCTTCTCGATATTACACGGCCTGAGTCTTGGACGGCCAATGCTGTCTATGCCGGTACCAGAATCTTCATTTCGTCGAAGCCAGCAGTCGCACAGGAGTTCATCGCCACAGTGCTCCTTGACCGTGTCCGGGAGGAAATCCATGAGACCAAGAAGCTCAATGTCCACACCTACAATGCGTTGAAGAAAGCGCTATACAAGCCCGCCTGTTTCTTCAAGGGCCTACTCTTCCCCTTGGTGTCGAGCGGAACCTGCACACTACGAGAAGCCCATATTGTCTCTTCTGTCATTGCACGTGTCTCTATCCCGGTCTTGCACTCAGCTGCAGCATTACTCCGCATGTGTGATCTCGCTGCTGAACAGTCGTTGCGCTCTTTGGAAAGTACCGGTGCAGTGAACATGTTCATTCGCGTTTTCCTGGAGAAGAAGTATGCGCTTCCCTACAAGGTGATTGACGCCCTCGTTTTCCATTTCCTGCGCTTCCGTGCTACCGACAATGATGCCATGATGACCGATGGATCCCGTGAAGCCAACAAGGTTTACAAGCTTCCTGTCCTTTGGCACCAGTCTCTGCTGGTGTTTGCGCAACGCTACCGCAATGATATCACCGAGGATCAGCGTGAGGCGCTTTTGGATTTGCTTTTGGTCCGTGGACACAAGGATATCGGACCCGAGGTCAGGCGGGAACTGCTGGCAGGTAGAGGACGAGGTGTGGTTGCACCAGACCCGGAAAACCAAGGTGCTATTGATGCCGGTGATGATACGATGGATGTCACGTTATAGACGAACTGCTGCGGGACCGCGTTAGGAGTGTAAACTGGGAGGCGAGACGAGGTGCCCCCCGGTGACTTCGAAAAATTTGCATCTTGCTATGATTCAATCACGAGTCGTGACCGGCATGGGCGTTATTTTTGGGCTATTGAATTGTTACATCCATTTCTTTTGTTTCTTAGGCACATATTATTCCCACGGTTACACATGAGTTTGGCAGCTAGGTGCTCTCACTTGAGCACAGTAAAAGGTAGATAAGAACCAACCCATTGGCTAGAAAACGAGGGGGTGAACACATTTTGTTGTCACGTACAGCTTTGTTTTCATAAGCGCATGCCACCATTCATACATCATTCCTACGTTCTGACGGAGTGCAACAAAGCGCGAAGGAGGCGGCCCCAAACCTGACAGGGCTGTAGGATTTCTAGAAGCGTTATTAATTAAGTACGGGATGCTTTTTGCTCCCTCTCCCCCACTCCCCCCTGTCTCTCGATAAGTGTCTATATTGCGTCGGAGCTAAGATCAATCTAACGGCGAAGGGAGACCGTCGGACTTAATTATTTAGATATCAGGCCATGTCCCGAATAGTACTGTGTATGCGCATTGCGCAATAGTTAGCCCGTCGAGGGTGACCCCCGTGTTTCTGGTACATTCCACCCGCTAACCAAGTCGGTCAAGGAATGCGGGAAATTGAATAACAAGTTCCAGACCCCAAAGATACTGGCGCTCCAATGATTTCCCCTGCCACGCCCACAACATTGGAAGCCCCCTTCTGGCCCCATCTTTCACACCCTCCGTCTCTAAGAATGGCGCCACGGTGGATCAAGTTCCACGGATTCACTTTGTCTTATCACCAATGAACTGCGCCAACCACGTTCTTTACCCCCTGGAGACTCTTCACCCTAGCCCTGGATGCCACACTCAAAAGGGGTGCACAATAAGAGTCCAGACGCGTTCACACTTCACACATTCTAGGTAATTAATGATCTCATCAATGGAAAATAAAGCCTCCCCAATCGAAAAACAGTCACAACTAAGTATATACTGCACATAAAGGAGCGAAAGCAAAGGCTGTATGTAATACAGAATAGAACTACTATCTACTAAAGCTTGCGGATTTAATTGCCGGACGAAGTAAGACATCGGCGGGGGTCGTGTTCAAAGAGAGGCAGTGCGAGAGATAAAAATGGCACAGGCATCATCGGAAGAATAATCACCGTGGGGAATTGGGCTAGAACAAAGTGGAATGGAGTAAAGTCCGTCAATCATCTATCTAGTATCTACGTACCTTTCTCCAAGGTATCTACGGAGTATGATCCGCAAGATTGCGAGTTGAGACCACAAGAGGGGCGCAGGGAGCCACTGGGGGAGGGTTCCACCTTGAGAGCGAGACTTGTCGCAGGTAAAGAGGGCTTTGAGACGGAAGGTGTGAAAGATGGGGCCAGAAGGGGGCTTCCAATGTTGTGGCAGGGGGAAACACACTGGGGGGTCTCTCTCTCTCCCTTCGCAGTCCCTCCTCTCCCAAGCATTTGGCTTACAGAACGTACTTGTGTAAAGTTACGGGGAACCATGGTGCCTGGAGTATTTACCGTACGGTCATTTGGGGCGCAAAGGGGCACATTCACCCAACCGGACATTGCACAGGGGCGTAATGGGTCTGTAACGGTTACCGGAACTTGGCTGACGACGATGACTCCGCCCCCTTACTTGCAGGGAGGCGGCCTGATCTGACCACGTTGGCCTTTTAAAGAGTCGCTCACTCCCCCAGCTCTCACAGTCGATCAGGAAATCGTCCTCACTCTCAACCTTTTATTCTTTCTTGTTTATTGAGGACACCTGTCCTTCTTGGCCCTATCCCTCTTGTTGTCTGGTACACTTGACCCCAGGCACCACTTGGCCAGGCCTGGCCCCCCCAGCTTCCCCCGTTATGACACCGTGGCCTGTGTTCCTGTGACACGGGCAAGCAGACCTCCACAACCAAGCTGTGTCGACCTACATCACCGTCCTCCCTTGCAGTGCGGTTTAAGATAAGGCTCATAGTAATCTGATTGATCCACAATCAAAGATCAATCACCTGTCACGCTTGCAATAATGGAAGAAGCATTCTCTCCAGTCGACTCCCTCGCCGGCTCCCCGACGCCTGAGTTGCCATTGCTGACAGTGTCCCCGGCGGACACGTCGCTTGATGACTCGTCGATGCAGTCTGGGGAGACCAAAGCCGAAGAGAAGAAGCCTGTGAAGAAGAGAAAGTCATGGGGCCAGGAATTGCCTGTCCCGAAGACTAACTTGCCTCCGAGGTAAGACATTTAGATCAAAATACAACTATATATCTATTCACATGATGCTAATTCGACATCCAGGAAACGGGCCAAGACTGAAGATGAGAAAGAGCAACGTCGTATCGAGCGCGTCCTTCGTAATCGTGCGGCAGCACAAACATCACGCGAGCGCAAGAGGCTCGAAATGGAGAAGTTGGAAAATGAGAAGATCCAGATGGAACAGCAGAACCAGTTCCTTCTGCAACGACTATCCCAGATGGAAGCCGAGAACAATCGCTTGAACCAACAAGTCGCTCAACTATCGGCTGAGGTCCGGGGCTCCCGCGGCAACACTCCCAAGCCCGGCTCCCCTGTCTCCGCTTCTCCTACTCTCACCCCCACCCTGTTCAAACAAGAGCGCGACGAAATCCCTCTTGAACGGATTCCTTTCCCCACACCCTCTATCACCGACTACTCCCCTACCTTGAGGCCTTCCACTCTGGCTGAGTCCTCCGACGTGACACAACATCCTGCAGCGGTGTTGTGCGACCTGCAGTGTCCGTCGCTGGACTCGAAGGAGAAGGAAGTGCCCTCTCTCTCTTTGACGTCGGCTCAAACCCTGAACCTCACGCTGCCGATGATCTTGCAGCTCCTCTTTCTGACGATGACTTCCACCGCCTATTCAACGTTGATTCACCCGTTGGGTCAGATTCTTCAGTCCTTGAAGACGGGTTCGCCTTTGACGTTCTCGACGGAGGAGATCTATCAGCATTTCCATTTGATTCTATGGTTGATTTCGACCCCGAATCTGTTGGCTTCGAAGGCATCGAGCCGCCCCACGGTCTTCCGGATGAGACTTCTCGCCAGACTTCTAGCGTGCAACCCAGCCTTGGCGCGTCCACTTCGCGATGCGACGGGCAGGGCATTGCAGCTGGCTGTTAGCGAGCAGTTTCGCCAGGGAGATGCATCGGCTATCGATGGTAACGGAGTCCAATGGAGCTGGGAGTCCTTGTTGACCTTGGCGTGGACGATAGACCTACTCGAAAAGCCGGGACGACGCAAACGAATCTTGAGCGGTTTGAAATCAGCGAAAACTGGACGGCGAAGTAATATTGGCAAGTCTCAAAGGAGTACACGGAGTTCATGGAGTTCACGAAGCACCCAAGAGGCGTTGACGTCTCTCCTGATGGGCAAGCATAGTTGAGGTTCCGGCTGTAAATTATCATAAATTCTTATAATTCTATTTTAGATTTTCAATCCAGCAGTTAATGGTCTGCTCGTCATTTCTCTTTCGCTTTTTTCAACCGACAGGTGACCAGGAAATACAGTTTCTGAGCCCGTTAGATTTGCAAGTAGCTGGGCACCATACATAGTCTTGTAGCTACCACATCAATTCTTTAGGCATCAGCGGTACTACTTCACTACCATTATTGTCAATTGTAGTCGGCATGCAGGTTGTAGTGGCACCTCCGCGCGCAGCGGATACGGCGATCGGGATGACGTTGCCACGCAGTCCCCCGCCCTCCCATCTAGACTGACTGTCTGTCCATCGGGGCTGAATGTTGCCTCCCGCTCCCTATCTTTTGACCCCAAACTTCCTATCTCTTCCATGCGCCCAAGCCTCACTTTTTGCCTAGATACCCTTCTTGTGCCCACTCTATTTTTCGTCACCTGTTCCTTTCAGTCCTAGAACAAAATGGTTCGGAAGGATCCTATCTTTGAAGCCCGCACCAATGTCAAGGTAGGCGGTGCCCCATTATTCCCCCTCTCTGCGGCAACATTTCAGCGTTTGCCCGCTTATCAACGCTCCCTTGTCTGAATAATTGTCAGTTGGCTAATTTTATAATTGTCCATCTTTTAGCTACACTCTAATCGACTGAAAAAGGAGGCCGCCCGTGCGGAAGCGACCTTTAAATCCGAGAAAGCTAAGGCTGACAAGGCCATGAAAAACCGCGAATTTCAGATCGCCCGCATCCATGCCGCTTCTGCCGTACGAGAAAAACGCAGACAGGTGACCCTCAAGGCGGAGGCTGCCAGAGCAGATGTCATTATCAACGAGCTCAAGGCTGCGCAGAGCACTCGGGACACGTCTCGGACGCTTGCATTGGCATCACGGGGCCTGGATGCTGCCTCCAAGAGTGTAAATCTTGAGAGCTTGGTTTCCCATGCGAACAATTTCCTGGCGCGCTCCGAAGATTTCAAGATTGCTAGCAGTGCGATCGAGGATGTTGCGCAAGGGATCTCTATGCAGGAGAATGGCGCAGAGGGTGAAGCCGATGTGGATCGCCTGATGGAGCAACTTGCTGATGACGCTGGGGTGGATCTCCGGATGGCTTTGGAGCAGGATGCTGCTGCTGCTCCTAAGGAGGAGGTTAAGGCTCCGAAACAAGTTGACACTGAAGTTGAGGATGGCTTGGATGCTAGGCTACGAGCTCTCAGGGCGACCAACTGAATTTCAACTACTTCGTTTCTATCGTCCTCTACTGTCACGTTAACTTTGGCCTTGTACTTGTTGATATGCTTTCGGATTCGGCGAACTATTGGGGTAACTAACAGCGCGTTGGGTATTTTTAGGGTTGAGGTTCAGTTACTCTTGAGAGTGTATTGTTCTGTGGGCGCTCATGACTATATGGTCCATCATCATGCTATGCTTTACATGCTTTGTGGGTTCTTGCAATCTCTTTCGTTACATACCCGTGAAAATCGCACTTGCTGCATACGTTCATTGTCTTGCCATGCATTTGAAGGAATTCTAAATGGTCGGTCTTATAAGAGAGACGCACATTTCCTCTGCACAGATACTGTTCGAGTGGTATAGATACCTTTCCTCATATTGTCATTTTCGGTCCCTTCTTGAATTGGTACGTTTCTTCCATACACGTGCTCTATTTTCTGTCCATGGACAATTATGGAGCATAGTTACAAGGAGAATAGGTCTTTCATCCATATACTCATCGTGGGGTACCATCGTTTATTCAAGACAAGTGTTTCAAGGAGCAGTGACATGGTCAGTTTGTAGGAATATGGCCGCTATTTAACAATACATATAAAAAGGGTGTATAGAGAAGAATTCTCAGTAGGCGCAGCATTATACTTCATTACCCCTTCACGGCTGTCGTAGACTCATAGATCCTAAATAACTACCGTTATTCAACGAGCAAGCCCGGCTAGCTCAATCGGTAGAGCGTGAGACTCTTAATCTCAAGGCTGCGGGTTCGAGCCCCGCGTTGGGCTTTCCTTTTTTTTCCCATCATAAAGTATGTTCACCACCCGGCTAACATGACTTGTCCTTCATTTTTCTTCTTCCACCCACCCGTCTTTTGCTATGCTTTTACCTTGTGCTTCCAATTCAATCGACCTCTCGTAGGCATTCTTACGGTTCTAGCATAGCTGAAACACTATTCTAAAGCCACAGCCGTTTCCTTCCGGATGTTGTTCCGCCGCTGTCTATGAATGCCGCATAAAATATGTTTCCGTGATCGTCATTTATCAGCCACTGAGCCACCTTTGATCCGGGCCGTGTCATCTCCATGAGCCGGTAGTAAGTTTCCAAGACCCAGCCACGAACGTTGGGATAGCGAAAAGGCTATATACCCCATAACCATAAAGCTGCTTGAGTTAACTCTTGTAACAGGCGATGGATAGCTCCGCTGCGTTGGATCCCAACAAAGCATCTCATGGTCGACAAGCCGCCTGCTTGAACTGTAGGAAAAGCAAGGTCCGGTGCAATCGAAGCCAGGATGATGCGTCGTGTAGCAGATGCAAACAGACCAATGTTGAATGCATCATCCCCAGTCACCATGTCGGTAGACAAAAAGGGGTCAAAAAGTACGCGCTAAACTAAACGCCTTGATCTTTCAAGGACCCCCAAGCTGACATGGTGAAAATTAGCAAACGCAAAGGCCTTGAAAAAGCATTACATCAGATTGAACAGGCCATAAAAAGACCGAGGAGTGATGCGTCAGGGTCTGAGGCGGCCCAAAAGCTCATATCAGACCTTCAAGAGATGCTCAGCAATACACGCGAACAGCAGTTACATAGCGAGGCAGACGACCAGTCCGAAGATTTTGACCGGTCCTATACATACCATTCGCCCCGGGATAATATTGGCGATAATCTGTCTCTAGATGATGCAGAGAATCCTTTGCAACTACTCGCACGTGCCTCTGATCTACAGCTATCGCCGACCGAGGTGCGTGGTGCACACAAATGGCCACCTTCAACAATTCAACCATCAGGCATGCTACAGAACAGCACCGAAGGAAGCGACCCTGCCGCGCAATCATATTTTGTTCCCATCAGGGCAAGTCTAGATGTTGGTCCAGATATAGACCCCATCGACATCGGTCTTGTAACTCCGAGTGAAGCCGAATCGCTCTTCTCTTTGTATGCCCAGGCTGCGTTGACTAGATTTGTGATTTCATAGCTTACCATTGATGCCAGCTTTTATCAGAACCTCGCACATACTCGATGGGGCCTTGACCCCCTGGTCCATACCGTCTCGTTTGTGCGGACCCAATCCGCATTTCTATTCACCTCTATCATGGCCGCGGCTGCATTGTTCTTGCCATCTGCTACAGCACTGTCGAAGCGGCTATCTAGACACTGCAAGACACTGGCCCAGAATGTCATTGTCCGACGCCACAGATCTGTTGAGATCGTCCTAGCCTTCATGGTAAATGTTCCATGGATGGAGCCCGGTAGTTGCTTAGGAGATGACGATACATGTTCCTACATTGCCATGGCTCTAGCTGTTGCTTTGGATCTTTCGTTGAACAAGATTGTGCTTCCATCATCTAGCTTTGAGCCGAGCCTACTTAGGAGACTCGCCAAGGCCGAGACTATCGATGCAAAAAGAGCTCTATACATGGACCGATTTGATGGCGTAGAACCGACATCTGCATGGGGCCGAAGACTTCTTCGAAGGCGCGAGAGAACTTGGATAGCGCTGTTTGTCCTCGAAAGAGGGTAAGCATTTCACCAAAAGCTCCGCTATTATACCTGGGAGGCATTACTACCACACCAGCCAGGTTCCTCCATTACACACTTCTCTCATGCCACACCCTGCTGCCTACCTCGAAGGTTAAGGCTTTCTCCCTATAAGGTAATTCTTTTAGTACGGGCAGAGTACCTTCCATTCTCTTGATGGAGATATTTACCTATCTGAAGTATAAAATACTACCTCGGGCTTGAAATTAACCAAAACTACAGATAATAGAGCCTCTGCCCGTACTAAGAGAAATACTTTATAAGGAGAAAGCCTTACCCTTCTTCAAGATAGGCGGCAGGCTGTGACATGCGTGAAGTGTGATGTAGAGGAGTCTGGCTGGAATGGCGGTAGCGTCTTCCTTATACATAGGTGTAGCACCCGTCTAACCTTTGGCTTGCAGTGTATGTTTAGCTCGCGGACGAAGCTATACAGTTCCTTCGACTGCCCTTATAAACCATTGCGATAAGTGGCATGTGTCCGATTTTGCAGACTCGCGCGATGGCCCGATGAATTCGATGGCTGTCCTCAGACGAAACCTGGTAAGTGCACTGGCGGTCTCAAGCGTACGAAAGGACCTTTTTAACCGGAGCGAATAGGATGGTCTCTTCCTGAGAGTAAAAGCCAATTGCGATAGTCATCAGGTCACAGATGCCGGGTCTGAGGTAGCGCAATCGTACGTGTGCATCCCACAAGTTGTTGACACGCGAATAACTCACGGTGTTCCCAGGATCAAGAATATGATTGAAAGCTTCTACGACCAGTGGTATGAGATATGGGCGCCCGAGATAGGAGAAGGTCACTGTAAGTCCCTTGTAGGGGTGTGACAGGCTCGCATTAACCATTGGACAAACGGCTAATCTACACCAAGCACGCTCCCTTCCACCTTATGTGGAGATTCTTGTAACGCATACGAGGTTATCGACATATGGTGGTGTTATTAATCACCCTACAGCACCCTTGGAAGTCAAAAGATTCTTTCGTGCCGCCGGCCTTTCTTCTGCACTAAACGTCTTGAGAGCAGCTATACAAGGAGAGGCGCGATTGAAGTCTATGCCTAACAACACAGTCATCATGATATCCTTTGCTGCATGCTCGGCACTTAGTCTTAGCGTCATGCCAGAAGACAGCAGGTCTAGTTTGGCGCCAAGTGTTCATAATCTGATCGAGGAAACTGCAGGGGTCCTCGAGCGTATCGGAGCTACTACCCGCCATAGAAACGGTGCCTCTGTTCTCTATGGGCGCTTTTTGAGGGCGCTTGTCAGACGCGCTCCTGTAAGCGCAGGCTCCCAGAACGGACCGCGGGGCTTGGTCGAAACGGGGGCCCTACAACCTCCGCCAGACTTGGATGGGTATTGCCCAGTGGCTTCTGGGACACAACCATCCTCTATACCATCGTCTTTTATATGGCCTGAACCACTCAGATTTTCTGCCATGTCCGATGACCAGATCATAGACGCAGTGAACCGGGCTGGCACTGCATTTGGGACGACTGTGCCTGACGTCCCACTGGATGACCTAATGACTTGGGACTGGTTCGACGTCGGAAATGCGGCAGATTTTGGCTTCTGAATGGGTGAAAGCTTGCGCGCAGATCGGTGGCTACGCGGATCAATGAATGATCTCATTTCTGGTTCCGTTCCGGAGGGTCCTGGGAGCTCCGCCGCTCGGCGACTAGAAGTAGTGCCGAGTGCCGAGGGGTGCCGTTCTCAGCTTCCCATATTAACCAGCCCGATTTCCTGCTTTTCCTGACTGGATAGCCTCTGCAACAGTTTTTCGACTTCTATTCAACTGATTCTGTTGCTACGAGGGAAAATGGCAACCATTCGATTATCTGCGTTGGTCTTGTCGCGAAGGTTGATTGTTCGTCCGCAATGCTATCGGCGGTCGCAATTACTCACGAACCTGTATGCGCCTCCCGCTACTAAAGCCGGTAGCCGGGCCAGATACTCAACTTCTACACACGACCAAGCCCCGCGGGCTCCGAAGATTGACCGTGCCGCTTCAAAGTTATTCAAAGACGCGGATGCGGCCGTAGCAGATCTGAAGAGCGGGTCAACCATTCTTAGTTCAGGCTTCGGCCTATGTGGTGTCGCGGGTAAGGTCTCTCCTCGCGCTTTGCCAGATATAATACAGTTTGACTGACAAAGAAATCTACTGTAGAAACGTTGATCTCTGCGATACACCGCAGAGGGGCCGACAACTTGCATTCCTTGACGGCGGTATCGAACAATGCTGGTCTCGCTGGGAAGGGCGGGCTGTCTACCCTAACGCAAGCGGGACAGGTCAACAGACTCATACTTTCCTACCTGGGAAATAATAAAGCTCTGGAGAAGAAATACTTGACGGGAAATATTGCCATCGAACTGTGTCCACAAGGCAGTCTGGCCGAGCGACTACGTGCTGGAGGAGCTGGGATCCCCGCTTTTTATACCCCCACGGGAGTTCGTGAGTTTTTGATCACT